TGGGGAGGGGGTGAGAAGAGACTTAAACTATTGCACATCATTAAGAAAGAAGAAGTATACTTACTAAAGAGCTTCCACACACGCACGACGTCTAGTTTAAAATGGTCCATGAGGCCGTACCAGTGGAACAGGTGGACGCACAAAACGGGGAGAGAGCGGCCTGCACGGAAAAGTCAACTTTACATTAGTCACAATTTTCTAGGACCATTATGGCTCGTTCGTTGATGCTCAAACAGCCATTATGCCCACAACAAGCTATGCTATGGTATCTGTGTAGCCCCGACATTCAATGGAGGGCCACGCACACGCGCGAGTCGGCTGCTCACCTCCAGTCACAGTGTCCAGGGCGAAAGCGTTGAAGGGCCACAGCGAGACGCGGTCCAGCACGCACTTGACCAGCCCGTGGTGGATGTCGTCGAGCAGCGCGGGGTGGTGCTGCAGCCCCCGGGTCGTGGGCCGCCGCCGGCGCCGCTTGTGCATCGTGAGGAAGCGGCCCGTGTGCAGCGAGCGCGCCGCGCCCAGCGCGTCCAGCGCCCCGAGCAGCACCCAGTCCAGCGAGGACAGCGACGTGGCCGTGCCGCCCCCTGCAGACAGACGGAAGCAAACGAGAGATAAGAAAAGTGTCAGAGAGACCTGCCCCAACACCCCCCAAAATAAATAAAACTAGGAGACAACTCCGCTGTCTAAAAACTATGGGAAAAAATACAAAAGGGGAAAATATCGGAAAATAAACAGAGGGGGAAAACATTTATTTTTAAAAGTAGTTTTCCCTTGTCCCCGCGGAGAACAAGGTACCTGTACACCAAAGCTCTCTGCTACATTTATTTTCTCGTTCCATTCAACGCTTTGGCATGGATGTGATGTGACCCCGCAATCGGACGTCCCATTTAATCTTCCATTCCAATTTCAATGTCAAAGCGAATAATAGCACGAGGAAATTAGGCAGAGAGCAGAGAAGGGAAAAAAGGGGGGCTTCTGTGTGCTGTTACGGTACTGGACGATCGCCCCGCTGACTTTACTACACTCCTGGATGTGGATGAAGTGTTGTAAAATGAATAATCTGCTGTGCATGGCAAATGGAACACTTCTCGAATAGTTTATCTAATTTATTTAATCGGTATACCGACAAGAAGGTGATCAACATTACCCCCGGTGTCCAAATTAGCCCGTTTTACGGTACCTATAACGTGCCACGTGGTCAGCGATGTTAGGGAAACTGCGTCTGCATGTGATACACCAGAACTACAAATGCGGGAAGGACTTGTCAGCCGACCGATACATGCCCAAATTTGCCGCGGGCGAAGAAGTTTTTCTTTCCCCTTCTAATAGAATTACATTCGCCTCCACAATTCGAACTCTCGTGCAAAATACATTGGATGCTCTGCTCCGCTTTGCTGCTCTCCTTGATATTCCTGATACGCCAGCGATGCAAAGCGCAAACGAGGGGAAACCACGTTACCGCGGCGGGCCACTATGTACGCAGGCCCAGCCGCCCAGCCGCCCAGCCCCGCCGGTCATCCAGACGAGAGGGCGGGGCAGGGGAGGGGAGCGGAGGGGAGGGGCGGGCCCCAGAGACAAAACCGAGTTCCCAAACGCAAAGCTGTCTAACCCCTTTCAATTTGCCGGCATA